ATGACAGGTTGATTCTATTATTATACCTTTCGCAAAAATTTTGTGAAAGGCAAATGAAAATCATTTTTCTAAAATTTTGAACTCTAACATTTTGTTTTTTTTTGCTAATCAATTAACGTCAGTTTGTTTTTGATTCACTTAAACTAAAGACAAATGTCCAATCAAATTGATGTGAGTTGAAAATACGATGATACACAATTTAGTCAATTTTGATATAATTTGAACAGTTGTTAATGTTTAAATAAACTTTATATTGAAATTATTCTATAGAATGAAAAATAATCGGGTCACATTTTATATGGTATTTATGCTTAAAATAGTATATGACAAAAAGATTTACTGTTAAGATTTTTGGATTTATTGATAAACAAATTATAAATTTCAACTGTTTAAAATTAGGATACTAATAATTTTGGTTAAAGCATAAATTGTTGCACACAAGATTTTTGAATCCTAACTGAGCAGAGTAAGTTAATAAAAATTGTTTGATATGCTTATATCTATATGATATATATTGTAACAAAACATTCATAGTTAATTTTGAGAAAATCTGCACTGCTTGAGATGCATTTATATTCGAAATTATGTATGACTAACTAACTTCATTAACATAGTAAAAATCTTTACATGTTGATCTCAAAATTCGGAGAATTAATAAATTATCCGCATAATTTTGTATCCGAGTTTATTGTCATAAAAATTGGAGGAAGGTTGAATCATCAAAGAAAGGTATGTATTAGCCTAATTATATATATATATATATATATAAATTATGGCATCCAAAGTTAGTTGGCTCAATAGCGTATAACTTTCTAGTTATTCAACTTTATTTTTTGATTATTCCTAAGCTTGTAAATGTAATCAATTAAACTGTTAGAGCATATTTTATTCATTAATTATAAATATATCTGAAAAAAAATTCAGGATGATAATTGGCTAGACAGGAAAGAGTGTATGCATCAATAAGAGGAAGTCAAATTCTTAATATCCACATGTTGTTAACACTATCCCAAATATAAATCTCAATCTTGCGATAATTTCTATTTGACTTAGATTTCACTGAAACAATAAATTTAAAACTGTATTGTTTTATGTTTGGATTAATTATCGAATCACTTCATTTAGTAGTTTTTCCATTCAAAGCAATATAAAAGCGCACAATAAACTTCAAGGTTTAGCTCAAACTTTAAAATACTATAGTTAATGTTCTTTGAAAACTATTACATTATAAGCAAAGATATTGATACTTTTTAATTACATCCAAGTTTCCTTACTAAACCATAAATGTTTAAGTGGATCCTTTTAATGATTGATGATAAGAATTCAGAATTGAGAAAAGGATATTCTCTTACAATCCAAAATTTTTATAAGCAGATGAATCTTAGCTGCATTTTTATAGAAATAAATTAAAGAATAATCAAGCAATAATCATTTTTACAATTTTATCAGGATTACACTGATCCAATAATGAGTCTATATAAGCATCTTTAGCTATTTTCGTACCTGCAACCATCCAGAATAGATACACTTTGGAAGCTGATGAGAAATCTATATGACTACTAAACTATTTATTACAAAAAAAAATAAACTGCTTTAATCTGCCTGAAGTAATATTTACTCTAATTAAAAATGTACTTTATAGCCCTACAAAACTTAAGTCTTGCATCATATATGACAAAACATTGCTTAGAAATATCATTGAAATGTTATAAAATTTGTTTAACTTTCATAAATCTAGGATGGGATAAAATTTTTATCTTTTAGCTTTACAAAAAATAATGATTTGCTATTTAAAAAGTTTAGAAACCATCTTTTAGTACCTTGGATCAAATTGTGGAAAAATAAAATCTTTAAACTATTTAACACTAATATTTCTATAACTTATAAAATTGAGTTAGAACCTTATGATAAGGCAAGTTAAATATTGAAAAAGTACCGCTATTATTCTACCATTATTGTTAGGGATCAGAATGATGTTGCAAATGGATTTTAAAAGATTACCACCTTTCATAGGGATAGTAAATTTGGAATTCCTAAAGAACTCAAGAACAATAAAAGTTTCAATAATTACTAAACAAATATTTTTTTGATTAGAAGAATGCAATGTCAACTATAAGTTCATAATAATGGAATATGGTATTCTTTTTGGAGCTTTAAATCAAATTATTTATTAATTCTTTCTTCTTGTGGCATTTTAGCTGTGATGAGAGGATTATTTATTAAATTTGCCAAATTATAATGAACAAGGTAAACTAAATAAAGAATAAAAAGGAATTGATTATTCATGTGTTAATAATCCATTTTTAATAATAATTATGCTGAAATATTATTTTTTAAAATATACTCTCCTATAATTAAATCAAGAAAAATGAACACAAAGCATTATATATTCTTTTGGGTTCGCATGAGTGATGAATAATCTGTAGCATAGGAAAACTTAGGTAAGACAGTATATATCACTACATTTCTATTCTAATCAATTTTTTCAAACTTTTCTATTTAAATAGACAAACTTGAATAATTAGATTAAATTACGAATTATTTAAATACCCAACTTAGAATTAGTACAAATGAGCAAAAGTTTCTCAATTTCAATTTTCTTCTTTAATCTTTTTATGACTTTCAAAGAATTATAAATTAATTCATCATCTTTTTAAATTACAATTTTATTCATATGCATAGTTGGCTACTGAATGTAAGGGAAAATTGAAGATTATTAATTGTAATGTATATAAATAATTTTTTTTTGCTTAGCATTCATATCGGAGTTACCAAACAGCAAATTCTTTAATAAATATAATTTAGGTGTATATTATAAATTCCATAAATCATTGTTTTTTGTTAACTACTTAAAACAGAGTTTTCATTTCTAACATTAAATTTAGCATCAGAAATGCTATTATCAAACCACATTATTCATAAATTATTGATTTAATGGAGGAATAAAAATTCTTTTTATTAATTAATAAAATAATAGAAATGGGAATTACTTGTTCGAATAAATAGCGTGTGATAAAGGAAATAGATAAGATAGATAGGTGTATCATGTTATTTAAATATAAGCAATATTGAGCCACTAAAATGCTAAAACATCCAATAAGATACAAATTAAGAAGAATATGAGTGTAAATTTTGGAACAGGAAAAAAAATTAATGGCAACGAAAAATTATATAAATCGAATTTACAAAAGTTGATGATGTTATTGAAGTTAAGTATCTTTTAGATGGATAAATTATAAGAAGGTAAATATTTTTCTACAAAAAATACATAGAGAAGAATAAAAAGATATTAGTGTGAAGCCTCAAGTCTTAATTAATTTAGAACAAATCTATTATCTTGAATGGCTTGGAAAATATTAAGAGAATTTTAAGAAGATGGGAAAATGGACAGCTATTTGGAAGGGAGAAAAAATTACAGAAGTGGGTGGGTATTACTCTAATGAGGGAAAAAAGAATGGTATTTGGAATGACATCATAAAAAATTATGGAGAGTAAAATAATTTATATTTTGAATTAATAGACTGAGTCCTGTTTTTGAAATCGGAGAATACAAAGATAATTAAAAAATAGGATAATGGATATATGTTTTTGAGGGGATGAATATGTAAATTTTTCTTAAATTTTACAGCGGTGGTGGAAATTACAGCTAGTACAGTAAAAAGGAAGGAAAATGGATTGATTTGAGTGATTATTTTTGCAAGTATTTTTGGATTAATTATTAGTTAGTGTAAGGTAACATATNTAATTAAAAATGTACTTTATAGCCCTACAAAACTTAAGTCTTGCATCATATATGACAAAACATTGCTTAGAAATATCATTGAAATGTTATAAAATTTGTTTAACTTTCATAAATCTAGGATGGGATAAAATTTTTATCTTTTAGCTTTACAAAAAATAATGATTTGCTATTTAAAAAGTTTAGAAACCATCTTTTAATACCTTGGATCAAATTGTGAAAAAATAAAATCTTTAAACTATTTAACACTAATAATTCTATAACTTATAAAATTGAGTTAGAACCTTATGATAAGGAAAGTTAAATATTGAAAAAGTACCGCTATTATTGTACCCAAATGAATTTTAAAAGATTACCACCATCCATAGGATAGTAAATTTGGAATTCCTAAAGAACTCAGGAACAAGAAAAGTTTCAATCTAAACAAAATATTTTTTCGACTACAAGGATGCAATGTCAACTATAAGTTCATAATAATGGAATATCGTATTCTTTTTGGAGTTTTAAATCAAATTATTTTTTAATTCTTTCTTCTTGTGGCATTTTAGCTGTGATGAGAGGATTATTATTAAATTTGCCAAATTATAATGAACAAGGTTAACTAAACAAAGAATAAAAAGGAATTGATTATTCTTTGTGTTAATAATCCATTTTTAAAAATAATTATGCTGAAATATTATTTTTTAAAATATACTCTCCTATAATTAAATCAAGAAAAATGAACACAAAAGCATTATATAATCTTTGGGTTCGCATTAGTGATGAATAATCTGTAGCATAGGAAAACTTAGGAAGACAGTATATATCACTGCATTTCTATTCTATCAATTTTTTCAAACTTTTCTATTTAAATAGACAAACTTGAATAATTAGATTAAATTACGAATTATTTAAAAACCAAAATAGAATTAGTACAAATGAGCAAAAGTTTCTCAATTTCACTTTTCTTCTTTAATCTTTTTGTGACTTTCAAAGAATTATAAATTAATTCATCATCTTTTTAAATTACAATTTTATTCATATGCATAGTTGGCTACTGAATGTAAGGGAAAATTGAAGATTATTAATTGTAATGTATATAAATAATTTTTTTTTGCTTAGCATTCATATCGGAGTTACCAAACAGCAAATTCTTTAATAAATATAATTTAGGTGTATATTATAAATTCCATAAATCATTGTTTTTTGTTAACTACTTAAAACAGAGTTTTCATTTCTAACATTAAATTTAGCATCAGAAATGCTATTATCAAACCACATTATTCATAAATTATTGATTTAATGGAGGAATAAAAATTCTTTTTATTAATTAATAAAATAATAGAAATGGGAATTACTTGTTCGAATAAATAGCGTGTGATAAAGGAAATAGATAAGATAGATAGGTGTATCATGTTATTTAAATATAAGCAATATTGAGCCACTAAAATGCTAAAACATCCAATAAGATACAAATTAAGAAGAATATGAGTGTAAATTTTGGAACAGGAAAAAAAATTAATGGCAACGAAAAATTATATAAATCGAATTTACAAAAGTTGATGATGTTATTGAAGTTAAGTATCTTTTAGATGGATAAATTATAAGAAGGTAAATATTTTTCTACAAAAAATACATAGAGAAGAATAAAAAGATATTAGTGTGAAGCCTCAAGTCTTAATTAATTTAGAACAAATCTATTATCTTGAATGGCTTGGAAAATATTAAGAGAATTTTAAGAAGATGGGAAAATGGACAGCTATTTGGAAGGGAGAAAAAATTACAGAAGTGGGTGGGTATTACTCTAATGAGGGAAAAAAGAATGGTATTTGGAATGACATCATAAAAAATTATGGAGAGTAAAATAATTTATATTTTGAATTAATAGACTGAGTCCTGTTTTTGAAATCGGAGAATACAAAGATAATTAAAAAATAGGATAATGGATATATGTTTTTGAGGGGATGAATATGTAAATTTTTCTTAAATTTTACAGCGGTGGTGGAAATTACAGCTAGTACAGTAAAAAGGAAGGAAAATGGATTGATTTGAGTGATTATTTTTGCAAGTATTTTTGGATTAATTATTAGTTAGTGTAAGGTAACATATAATGGAGAATATAAAAATGGTAAAAAAGTTGGTAGATGGGATATTTATTACGACAACAACGATGGTGAACTTTATTAATTGATGTATTATTACATTAATAAATAAAAAACAATTCAAGTGGTGGAGGATTTTATGAAGATTAAATAGAAGGAGATTNATCAATTTTTTCAAACTTTTCTATTTAAATAGACAAACTTGAATAATTAGATTAAATTACGAATTATTTAAATACCCAACTTAGAATTAGTACAAATGAGCAAAAGTTTCTCAATTTCAATTTTCTTCTTTAATCTTTTTATGACTTTCAAAGAATTATAAATTAATTCATCATCTTTTTAAATTACAATTTTATTCATATGCATAGTTGGCTACTGAATGTAAGGGAAAATTGAAGATTATTAATTGTAATGTATATAAATAATTTTTTTTTGCTTAGCATTCATATCGGAGTTACCAAACAGCAAATTCTTTAATAAATATAATTTAGGTGTATATTATAAATTCCATAAATCATTGTTTTTTGTTAACTACTTAAAACAGAGTTTTCATTTCTAACATTAAATTTAGCATCAGAAATGCTATTATCAAACCACATTATTCATAAATTATTGATTTAATGGAGGAATAAAAATTCTTTTTATTAATTAATAAAATAATAGAAATGGGAATTACTTGTTCGAATAAATAGCGTGTGATAAAGGAAATAGATAAGATAGATAGGTGTATCATGTTATTTAAATATAAGCAATATTGAGCCACTAAAATGCTAAAACATCCAATAAGATACAAATTAAGAAGAATATGAGTGTAAATTTTGGAACAGGAAAAAAAATTAATGGCAACGAAAAATTATATAAATCGAATTTACAAAAGTTGATGATGTTATTGAAGTTAAGTATCTTTTAGATGGATAAATTATAAGAAGGTAAATATTTTTCTACAAAAAATACATAGAGAAGAATAAAAAGATATTAGTGTGAAGCCTCAAGTCTTAATTAATTTAGAACAAATCTATTATCTTGAATGGCTTGGAAAATATTAAGAGAATTTTAAGAAGATGGGAAAATGGACAGCTATTTGGAAGGGAGAAAAAATTACAGAAGTGGGTGGGTATTACTCTAATGAGGGAAAAAAGAATGGTATTTGGAATGACATCATAAAAAATTATGGAGAGTAAAATAATTTATATTTTGAATTAATAGACTGAGTCCTGTTTTTGAAATCGGAGAATACAAAGATAATTAAAAAATAGGATAATGGATATATGTTTTTGAGGGGATGAATATGTAAATTTTTCTTAAATTTTACAGCGGTGGTGGAAATTACAGCTAGTACAGTAAAAAGGAAGGAAAATGGATTGATTTGAGTGATTATTTTTGCAAGTATTTTTGGATTAATTATTAGTTAGTGTAAGGTAACATATAATGGAGAATATAAAAATGGTAAAAAAGTTGGTAGATGGGATATTTATTACGACAACAACGATGGTGAACTTTATTAATTGATGTATTATTACATTAATAAATAAAAAACAATTCAAGTGGTGGAGGATTTTATGAAGATTAAATAGAAGGAGATTCAATTAAAGTTGGGAAATGGATTGACATTAGTGATGAGTTTTAGGATAATTAGTAAATTACTTTGAGTGGTGAATACAAAGAAGGTAAAAAATTTGGCAAATGGGAAATTTGGTGGAGAAGTAGAAATTTAAACGAGAAATATTAACTTGATGATGACTGTTAGTAATCTAAATTATAGTAATTTTTTTAGATTTTAAAGAAATTCCAATAAAGAATGGGAAGACTAATAAATGTAAATATAACTCAAAATTCTTAGCGGTGGAGGATCATATGATTCAGAAGGGTATGGGATTAAGATTGGCAGATGGACTTAATTGAGTGATGGATTTTCTTAAGAATATTAAGTAATATATAGTGGTGAATATCACAACGGCAAAAAGGTTGGGAGATGGGATATTTTGGCTAAAAAATTTGACACAATTTAGACCAAGCCATTTAAATAAATGTAAATTATCCTATTAAATTTAAAAAAATCATTTTTAGTGGCGGTGGATCATATGTTGAAGGAGACGAAGAGTTTAAAATTGGGGAATGGATTGAACTTGATGATGATACTGATAAACACCTGGATTTATTTTGGAAAGGTGAATATAAGAATGATAAAAAAGTTGGTCGATGGGCTTTTGGATGGACTTATAATGATGAATTTATTGAGCTGTAAATTATTTAATATATAACAAACTTAGTGAGGGTGGATCATATCATGAAGGAGGTGAAGGCATTAAGGTTGGGCGATGGAAGGAGAGATATAGATGGCCTGAAATACTGAGTTCTTAAAGTTAGGATGGTGAATATAAAAATGGCAAAAAGGTTGGTAGATGGAATATTGTGTATCCCTCAAAATAAAAGAGTGTATCTTCTCAGATGTAAATTATTTTATTAAACATAATAAATAACATTCATAGTGGGGGCGGATTGTATCATGAAGATGGTAATGGAATTAAGATTGGGAAGTGGATTGACTAAACTGAAGATATTTTTTTGTAATCGCCATCAATCCTTTATGAAGGTGAATATTCAAATGGCAGAAAAATTGGGGAATGGGGCATTTTCTATTTGGATGATGCTAACAAAATGCAAAGGATGTATAATTAAAAATAAGAATTTTAGTGGTGGTGGATCATATGATTAACAAGGTAAGGGTTTAAAGATTGGAAGTTGGATAGAGATTAATGATGAATGGAATTAAAGGAAGTAAATCACTCAGATAGGTGAATATCAAAACGGGAGAAAAGTTGGTCAATGGATAGAGATGAATTTAAAGAAGAATTAAAGCCATAATATAGCAAATTATGATAATTGAAAAATATTTACAAATAGAACAAAACATCAATAAGAATTGTATTTGTTGTTAATTTAGCATTTTAATTGCAATCTTGAAATTGTCTCTAATATTTTTAAGAATTTTATTTTAATACTTCAGTACAAATTAATTCATTTATGATATTTGTTGCTTTTTTTTTATTGATCGTTGTAACTAAACTGGGTAAGTCTGATAGGTATTCTCAAGTATTGCAAATGCTTTTTAAAAATTTGTTTTGAGACCAGATTTCAATTATTATAGGATTTATTTTGTATTATTATGATATTTTTTGAACAGTAAATTTTCAACATTATTTTATAGAATTAGGATTTTTCTAAGTTATAATCACAGAATATTATGGCATAAGAAAGAGATTGAGGACCAAATTTTTTGAAAATTGTAATAGAATTATTTTTGTATATCTTAATGAAAAACAAGCGGAGTTATGATTCAATGAACAATTTCTCTAAAATATCTAATCAATCACTATAGCAAGAAATGGTAATTAAATGTTTGAAAATTAAATATAACCTAAATGATTGTTAATGAAATTTATTTTCTAAACCTTATTTTCGTATAATATTTAAAATACTAATTTGATATGAATATTATTTATACTATGGGCTCAGAAATCAGCATTGACTAAGTTCAACAATAGAAATATAAAGTTATTTTAAAAAATTCAAGTTGCAATCAAAGATATGAAGAAATTATCATATAAAATAATTTATATTTAAAATTTAATTATTTAATAAATATCCAAGTTGAATAATTATTCTCATTAAATTTTTCCATTTTCATCTTCCTCGCTTATCCCCTTAATTTCTCCCTTTCAAGGAAATAATATTTTCTATTTGGCTTTCTTCATGTACTGGCAGATTTTCATAAATTCATCTCTAGTATTTATGCATTTCTCTTATATTTAAATTCTTTTATATAACACATTGGTTACTCAATAAGTGACTGTTGAAAGTGAAGGTATTGAGGCTCTGATGCTGTTATATCCTTTTTCAACCTACTCTATGGGACTTCTATGAATATATCCTTTCTTCAGTATCTGATGATGCAAAAGTGCTTATGAAATTGCGGACAAGGTTTATTAGGAAGCTATTGTTTCTTTTATGGTTTGTAAATATCTGCCATAATTTACTTTTGATGAACATATTCAATTAAGATCATAATTAATGATTATGTAACCTTTGCCAACATTTCGTAGCTTTTAAATTCCTTGATTTCATCAATATAAATCACTTTAACACTCGATTTAAATAATTAGACTTTATTTTATGAAATTTCAATCTATTATCTATTGTCACAATTTTTGATATCTAAAATTTACTCGACTTGTTAAACGATATTTAAATAAATATTGCAAGATTAATACATTATTCGAACTAATGAAGTTAAACCAAGTTGTTATTTATTTCAACTTCACTTTTGAATATCTAAATATTGTTGTGCTATTATATAAATATTATCAGATATCTAATACTACATATTTAGAAACCAATTTAGTATATCAGGAAGCAAACTAAATTTATCATGCTTATTCTTTATAAGCGCTGTGCTTCATTTTTTGACATTGAAGATATCCAGCTAATTACTAAAGAGGGATACTATTTTCTAATTTACTTGTTAAGCATAGTAGAAGATAAAAACCACCTAATTTTGCTTTTCCTACATTATTACTCAAAGAAAGGTTTAATTCTTTTCAACTAAATATCACTTTTAATTTCAGATTTCATTTTTATCTTATATTCTCAAAGTTAATTTAATTTTGTTATGCAACTTTTCCCTTAAGTTATTGCAATAATGATAAATCAATACTACCTAAGAAAGCGGTTTTATGTTAATTAAAAATAAGGAATTTGCTATTGTTATTCTAAGTCTTTAATAGATAAACAAAGTTGAAATTCAACATGCAACCAATCAAATTTGATAATTAAATTTAATTGAGACTATGCTTTTTTAATTCAAATTAATTTTCGTTTGCTTCAATTAATATTTTAATTCTCCTTATAGAAATAGTAAAATTTTTCTACTTACATTGATTTAATTATTTTCAAAAGACTTTAAATTCATTTATTATAGGCTACAGAATAAATTGATTCCATATCATGATCTCAAACTTGGAGGAAATTATTTACCTGCAATATGATCAGATGAAATAACATAAGATTCAATCCCAACAGATTATTTATATTCTGTATCAAGAAATAGTGCTTTAACATACATGCTAAATAGGTGATGTTTGAATAAGCATCCAGACCAATATCAAAAGAGATTATTTTGACTATTTTGGAATTTAAGTGGTAGGTTTAGAAATTTCGCAAATATAATTTCAAAGTAATAGATACGGATAACAATATTACAAACAAAAACACAAAGAAGTTGTATTTAGTTATATTGCATCTTGGCACGCTTTCAATTATGCTTTATTAATCAGATATACCACCATCATACTAAAAATATTGGGTGCAATTACAATACAACAATTTTAAATTATATTGCCTGTGAATTACAAATTCTGTAATCTCATTACTATTAAAAGAGAACGATCACACTATGTAAATGTTTTTATTTTTTATTTTTTGCATGAGGTAAATTTTTTAATTCATCTTTTTACTTAAATGAGTGTTTTGCTTAACTTACTTGTCAATATTACTTTTACACTTTACTCTGTTTTATTAGAAATTTACGTAGACTTTATACTTCCACCTGAGCTAAGCATTTCAATGTCAATATTATTATAAACTTTACAAGGAATGTGCATTCTGCCCTGAACTATTAAATTGTTCCAATCAACGTTGTTGAAGCTTAACCGAAATCCTCTACATTCATGCAGCCAATGTTGTTATGAGATTTAGTATATTCCTAAACACATCAAGCAAATCTATGTTTATTTTTAGGAATCTTATATATAAGGAAAAGTCCTACAATTAGTACATAAAGAAATGGTAGCTTTATTTCAATCTGCATTAAAAAAACGCATGCTAACTCTCATTAAGATACTATCTGAATGCAATGATAACCATCATGTCAGACTGAGTTATGTAAATAAATATTAGAAATAGGAAGACAGTATCATAAGACGTATAACTTATGTATTATAATATACTGATGAACAGGCCCCTCCAATCTAGCACTTAGCGTGTATTGTTTTAATGGTTGAGTAACGAGTGATCCATTGTAAAATAATGCGTTTTAGGTAAATATAGAGTTCATCTGCAAATATATAAAATATACATGATCCAACTACTTCTTTTAATAAATTTGGAGTTGTGTAAAATTTACAATTATAAGTTCAGTGAATAGCCTAAAAAAAGACATACTGTCTCTAATCTTCATCAAATTAGACATGTGCTACAAAGATTTTATATAGTTTAAATCGATATTCAAACGTAGAGTCTCAGAAATAGATCGGAAAAGTAATATCAGTTTTTGAATAGCTAGTAAAGTTATCAACGGGCCAAAGGCTAACATCTCAAAGAAGTTTAAAAAGAGTTATATTTATAACTTAAATTCTGGCTAGTTTGCTTTTGATCGTAATATCGGGATGGCAGATAACAATTATTAGAACTATATAATGTGAACATGAAACATATAAAAAGAAAAATTATGACAAATTCTAACTAATGTCCTTACAATTTTTTCAAGCAATAAAGTTTTGAGAACATTACGGCCCTCTCAAAGTTACCCTTTAATAGATCAATATTCAAGTTAGAAATAGCAAGATAAATAAAAATCAATCCATTAAGCTTGACTTTGAAAGTAAGAACGTTATTATAAATATAATTGGTTATACAAGTTTATTGGGGACATTAATTACAGTTGCCTACTTTTTATTTTGAAAAGGCTAGCAGATTTTGTATGACGCTTAAAAAGTGGTATAAGTTTCGAAAGAAAGTAAATAGTAAAAGCATCAACAAGGTTTAAGCAAGATTTCAACATGATTCTTAGGAACAACATGATTAAATGTAGCCTGGATGAAAAGAAATTAAAAACACTAATATCATATTATGTTCAACAATATATACAACTTAAGAATCAGAGGAATGCTACATCTTAATAAAATCTAAGGAAAGAGAAATATAGTTTTCCATCAGAATTAGCATGCCATTGATTTCAGGTATGGTGTGTATCGTTTTGTTACTCGATATCATTAATTGTAAGATTGTATTTAGTGACACAAGATACACCAGATAATAACATTCAAAAATATTCAGCCAAGGCATTAGAAAAGTATCCTAAGAAGGGGGACTTAAGAAGAAAATCTCAGCAACTAACTTTGGGATTCTTCATTTGTACAATTAGAGAGAGGAAAAGATTTAAGGCAAACTTACAGTGGATGTATGAGACGGAGAATTATAAAATGGAACTATTTAAGAGAACTTAAATGAAATATAGATTGCCCTTGTCTGGGAGAATTTTTAGAAGGATGAATTGCCGAAAAATAATTGTGCAGGTTCATCTGGTGATTTTTTCAATGGACCTTTGGAGATGCAATTGAGTAAGATTAAGTAAAATGTTTTAACATATTTAGGACTTAATCTGAAAAATGCTATATTCTTTGATATGTCAAATGAAAATTGACTTTTTTAAACAAATTTTTGTGTGAAGAAAATATATTAGAATAAAGAGTTATCGTTTTAATTCAATATTGGGATTTCAGTTGGATAAAGGATGATAGAATTCAGAAAAGGGTACATTAAAGCTCTAAAGTTAGCTCTAAACTTCGTCTGTTATTATTTGTTGTATGGTTTTAATAATTCAGGGTCAAGGTAAGATTGAGAAGCTCTGATATTTAGTCATGGGATTCTTAATATGTTTAGACATTTTGAATTATTAGAAACAATAATCAATACTCTATTTTGATATTCAGATATATAAAAGCAATTGATGTCTTTTGAAATTATTATGCAATCGTGAAATTCAATAATATAAAAATGTGATGAGAAGTTCTATAATTAGGAAGGAATAATATTACTTTTGACCAGTCAAGTACTGTTAAGAATTCTGTTTAATTATCCACTCTATACTCTTTAAAATTTCGTAATTGATTTCCCCTGGTGTATTTTTAGAGTGAAATTATTTAATTTAATTATTCTTATATTTTTATATAAGTGTTAATATTTGAAAATATTATTATATTTTTCTATTACATTTTGCTATGAAAATGTTGTAATAAATTGAAGATCTGTGAAATTGCATATTATTTAATCTCTGTCTAATTGAGAGTTCATTAGTATTAAGCATACAAAATCTAGAAATTAATCATAAATCCATTAAATTGCCATCTTTAAGAAGTTCTAATATAAATCAAATGCAGATTTATACCTTCTTAGTTTTACCAATAATTTTTATGGATCTAAATTGTGTTACATTGGGAGAATATTAAATTATTAAAATTATCTTAATTAGAGCTGAAATATGAATAGTAAAGAAAACAGGTCTTTTGAAAAAGCTATTCATGACTTAAATTGGCTTGTATATCATGTTTCAGAACTATTTTTGGTTTTCATATGTAAGAGTAAACAAGTTTCATATGAGAAAATAAGCATATATTTCTGTTGATGAATTTAATTATGTAGAGGGAATAAAATAGAATACACTCACATTAAATATGTTCTATGTCTTTGCTTTTTAAATNTTGCCTAGCATAAAGATTGATGCCCTTGGATAAAGTTGCATCGTAAATAGCCCAAATTGACGACATGAGACTTAAGATGGTACAAAGTCATTTGGAAAAATTCATGGAATAGAGCTATTTACAAACTTGTAAGGAACTCAACAATAATTTTGTGAATCCATACAAGGTGGGATTCGCCTAGAAACATGTAAAACAAGTTAGTAATGTGATACTAATGTCTTAAGTCAAAGAAAAGGGTGAAAGAAAAATGTCATCCATTAGAGCAAAATTATGATTTAAGAAATTCTAGACTTCTTGTTGAATGTGTACAATAACTTGATAGAGATGATCCACTAACTCAAAAGTTAAAAACTGATAGGCATTTCAAATTCATTTTATATTCAAGTGTTCATGATATTCGATATTGATCAATCAAAATTGTAGTTTTTACATCCTGTTTTCATTCATGTTTGCATTCTATGTAAAGTTTCCTTTATAATTTTGTAGAAACAACACATATCCACATTATTGAAAGTTCTATATAAAATCGGTTATTATATTTTTTGATTGAAAGCATCTAATTTTACACATTTCACAGTGAGTTCTTTTTGTAATTTCAGATATTGAACATGCAGATGTCCTGGGGTTACTTAAAGTACTTAGTATATTATCTTTTCTAATCTGTGAAAATATTCAATGAAGGCAACCGAAATAACACTTTTCCTTTTTTTGCTGATACCTTCAATGCCATCATGCTCATTCTAAGTCTATCTCAGTCCCTCAGGCGGCAGGATAGGCTTAGGGGAAAAATCCTCAGGACATGCCATTTATGACATCATCAGCGAAATATTTTATTTTAATTTTTTATTTGTATTTTCTAAAACAAAAATAGTACCTATCTTTAAAATCCTTTCCTTAACTATGTTACCTCTCCACTATCTATCAAAACATACAGAATAATAGATTTGTAGTAATGGATTACATTCTCAACTTCATTTTCTACTACTTCTTAAAACCCTATCACTGGAAATATAGAGTTTTACATTTATCTTATGTTTAGGTTTAACCTACGATTTCTGTAATAGATCATCATACTTCAAAATTTTCTATATCTAAAGTATTCTTCCAATAAACATATGAGTTATCTCCTTACAATTGGGTGAGCCTAGACAATAATCTTTTTATCCTAAATTATTTCCATTAATCTAAGTATTTTTTCCGATGAGTTTAAGGAATTTTTTCTTAGATTCAGCTTTCAATCAAATTATATTTTATAACATTCCAACATTAAATATTTAGGCTTAGAAACCTTATGATCCACTCTTTTAAGTTCTTCTTTAGATTTATCTATGTAAACCCTGAAACAATTGTAAGAAATTCATCCTTAACTTATATCTCTTTTCGTTTGTTAGCCATTAATTAAATTATCCCTTATCTATCCTTTATCCATCACTAATTTCACTATGGCAAGATGACCACAAATGAAATTTTCGAGCGATATTATTGAGCTGGAACAAATAATACCCATACTTATTCTTGTTAATTATAATTTGTTTTAGTTGAAAAATTCACTTATCAATTTATTTATTGTTATGCTTTCAAAATATCGAGTTATTTCATGATACGTATTGCTAATTTTCTTTTTTGTAAATTTGGTAAAACGTTTAATGCAGTTAGGAAATTTATATTTTTATCATCAGTGAGTAATTATTTAGAGAATGTTGTAAACAGGCACTAATTGATTCAATAACAATTCACTTCTTATGTCACCAGTTACAACCATTATTTAATTATCTTAAATATATTTATAGAATACTCAAAAGCTATATGATTTTGCATTAATGGGATGAATTCCCTAACAAGAAATCTATTATTATTATAAAGGCTGCCATTGGAAGAAATTGTGTTTTGGTTTTAGGCGAATTGTATTATTTATGCATTGTCTGGATGAGCAGAGCACCGAATGAATATGAAAATAAGATTTATAAGTGTGTGCGAGAAGCTATTAGTGTTAGAAGTCTAATATGGACAAATACTTAAACCTACAATATAAATTCAGAAATTATATATTGACTTTTATAAAAATGGAATAACTATAATAGGCCATAAAATATATTGATGATATAAATACTTAATTGAGATAAATTGGACTAAATATATGACAATTAAAGCAGCCCCTAGTAGCAGCAAAGAATAGACAAATTACTTTGAGATAAGAATAAAATATCGACGATAGGTATGAATATAAAGAGTAAATAGGATAAAACTAAATGGAAGACTGTTTATTTGGAATTCTTCCGAATAATTTAATATTTTTTTCACTTTATTAGTATTACCAAATTATCTATTTAATAGTATTCTTTTAAATTGTTTCTATTTAAAAGAATAAACAAATAACTTAAAGGTCTGAGATATGAAAAAGATAATACAGTTGAAACAATCAATCCTAAATTTAATGCATCAATTTTTTTCATAAAGGGCTTTAATTTGCCAGACATCCCTTCATGAAGTCAAAGATGCTTGGCTTAAAGAAATTTTTCAAAAGCAATTACAATTTTCGATGCTATTATTCCGTTCTCAAAAAAACTAGAATATATTTAATGTGAAATTTAGATCGTCGTTGAGAATAAATCTCAAGATAACAAGGAATGCTAAATAAACGAAATTGTCAATTTAGACAATTCTATAAAATAAGGAATGCTATGACGATCACATTTTTATCATTTTTCTAATTCCTTACTTTATTTTATACTCACCATATAATACTTCAAAACAGATCGCATTTATCACATCGCCTTATAACTTGGTTTTAACTATGGATTGAGTTTGAATTACTATCACAAGTATCCAATCTTCTCCTCTAAGTTAACTTCAGCCCTCAAAGATATATGAGTCTGCTTTCAAAAGCCATTAAATATTTTTGCTATATGGTGTTTGAACAAGGCTCCTACACGGGGATTCTTTCGATAAAAAGTGCACATATTGGGTCTCTTATTAAACTCAGCAGTTCCATGTTCCCCAATTGAAAACCTAACAATGCTTTTTAACTCTTCCTTCAATACTCCCCTTTCAAATGACCCTTTAGAATTTTTATGATCTTTAAGCCTGAAGTAAATGAATTGAAGATATATGACTTTCAAGTTTATGCCAAATCAGCCAGAAAATAACATAATTATCAACCCATTATTAGGTATTCTGGGGGGAAATGATCTCTTTCTTTTTAAATTATTTTTATCAAAGAAGAACCTGAGAAGTCTTCAGAATTAATAAAAATCAAAATTCAAATTCTCTTTATTTATGCTCTGATTTAAATGCTACTTACAGGCTAATTATAGCCTAAGCCTCCTGAGATAAGAATAACTTCTCTTCAATAAGCATCAAAAATTGAAAAAATTTAAGAACAGTTTCGGTAAATACAAATTAATTTTATGCTAAATTTAAAGAAAGTTTGAAATAAGAGTTTCATATTGAATTTCAAATTTCGCTCCTTCCTAGAAATATAGAAAGCATTTTGAATTCCTTTTTTACTAAATTAAATTAATGGCTCTTACTATTTGATATAGCTTAATAATGGGAAAATAATGTCTTCATCAGAATTTAAGTAATGAACGATTTCTATTTCTTACTCAACAATTACTAATCACTCCAATGATAATGCCTATAAACTTTGAGATATCTCATCTCGCATAATAATATTTCTCTTTCTTTGTGATATACAATTCCATTCTTTATGATTCAAATTCTCTAAGGACCTTTAGATAATTCTTTTTAATTTTTTATAGATGATTGATTTATTAAAATTATTATCTCATAAAAATAACTTATTAGGGCAAAACCTACAATCATTATCATTCCTCCTATTTTCTTCAATATAAAGAATTTAATCTACTATCATTAAATAAGGCTTGCAACTATATCTCCTTAACTGTTTAAAACTAATTTATTAAACTTTTAGTTTATCTACAATATAAACTTCATTAACAATCAAATTTCAAGATATAAATTGAACTATTAAAAAAAAGGGTTCTTTAAGTAAACTCAATAGAACTATATTTTTCACAAATGAAAAATATTGCTTAAGGACTATTCAAACCAAACTTGGTGTGCTTATGAATTTTCAATTTATACTGTTGTGCATATTTAAAATTAAAAACTGTTTTATAATATCGATCAAGCTTTTGTATATAATATCGGTTATTATTATCAACTGATTTTGTAAAATTGTTATCCATTCAGAAACCATTAGAATAAATTGAAATTGATTTTCCTTTAACTTCATATCAACAGGCATGTATGAATCTCTAAACAAGGATATGGATAAAATATGTAAAGCTGAATGTAAAATTCGAGTAATTTTATATGGAGCAATCCTATAATTCCAATTGATCTCTTGTTCCGTTATTACAAATGCAGATTTAATTCTTTCCCATCCTAAATGGCACTGTATCGTTTATGAGAATGGGACTCTTGAGTAGAAAATTATTCGATGATCTAATACAAATTAATCCCACTCACTCTCTGGTATTGGTTGTCATTCTTTCTAAAAAACTAATTGATAGTTAGACATCAATGTCTCCTTATAAGATTAGTTAGTGCATCATCATTTGACTGAATTTCCCTGAACTCAGAATATAAAATTTTTTAGTGTTTTAGCTTAAATTATTTATTATTAATTAATTTATTAATTAAAAATGATTTAATCGAAAATGATAGAAAAAGAAGAGGAACTTCAATGCTCTTTAAAGCATAAACTTCCTGTCCTTATGATTGTTTATGATGAAAAATTAAAGAGAAACGAGAGACTTTTATGCTCTGTATGCATGGAAAATTTTGATTCAAAAGCTTAGTTAATGAATTTTAATAAAGTCTTATAGGATATAGAGGAAAATCAAAAATAAAAGTAAAAATATGTTGAGAATTTGATAATGATCAGTATTAAACCTATTGAAGAACTCTAAAGACGTCTCTTTTTATTAAAATCTAATGTAGTATAATCATTAGATTAAATTATTGGAAATTTAGACGAATGGATTAAACAAATAATCATAATTGGTTAATAAAATGTTACATATAACTTTTATAATGAATTGGACAATCTAGTTAACTAAAAAAGATTTGAAGAATTGGCTTTGATATAATTAATTGATCAAATTAATTAAATTTAATTATCATACAATCAAAAAATTGAAAAGAAACTAAATTTATTCAAATCATTTTCAGAAAGTTAAAATTGTGAAAACATATTACAATAGTTAAGAAATGCAAATGAAACAAAAGAGAATAGAGGAAAAAAAATATTGATTTAAGTAAATTATGAAGTTATTATTTAGGGTTAAAAGGAATTGATTTAAGTTGGCAATGAATAGAAGTAATTAGAATAATAATTGATGAAGTATAAATAAGTTCAATTTAATTTAATTGATGATTCAAATTAATAGAATTTATATAGTTATGCAATAGTGTTCAATAAAGATGAATCAATTATGATCTCCTGTAATTATTGTTAGATTAAAATATGGAAATTTGAATAAGGAAGATTTAAATTATCCAATACTTATAATAACCATAGAAATCCTGTTAAGTGTTTAATATATAGCAAATAAACAAATAACTTTATTTCTGGTTGCGAGTATCACTAAATTATATGTTGGAAATAAATTAATCAAAATGAGTGGAAGTGTTCATAACCATTCGAGTAACATACTGGTAGTGTTTATTGTTTATTATTAAACAAACAAGAAGATCAACTTATTTCAGGAGGAGATGATAAGAAGATAATAGTATGGAAAGTAGATTTTATTAAGAACGATCTAACTTTTCTGTATTCCTTAGATTAACATACCAATAGCGTAGAGTCGCTAAGTTTTAATGAATCTGAAACTTTATTGGCATCATGTGGTTATGGAGAACTCATAATATGGGAGAAAGGATCGTAAGGAAATTGGGAATTTAAATATAATTAAGATGTTGAAGCTGGATATAAAATTCATTTTATTAATCATTACCAATTTCTTTGGGTAACTAAATCAAATGATGATATTTTGGTATTTGAATTATAGAATGGAGTTTTTAAATAGAATTCAAATAAAACTATTTCCTTAATAAAGAATAATGAATGTTAAGATAGTAATTTATTTCCAATTATACATAATAAAGATAGAAATGTGATATTGGTAAGACACAAGCATCATATCTATTTAATTAGACAATTAAATGATGGCACATTTAATATTCTTGCATCATTAAATTCTTAAATTACAGACATTTATGGAACTATCACCAATAATGCCTAATATTTAGTATTTTGGGATAAGAAATCTTACAAATATTCATCATATGAGATATAATATATATGAAGTCTAAAAGTATTTATCATATTAATAATTAAATCAATTATTTTTAAAATTGTTAGAATTAATAATCTAAAATTTTGAAACTAAAAAGATTAAGGTAGCGAAGAAATTTATATCAATTATATTTGTTTATTTATGATATTTGTAGAAATTTAATTATTAATTTTGATTCTAAATACAGTTGATTTTGAGTTTTCTATATAAAGCTTACTATTTAATGTGTTTGTTTCCTCTTAAGTTTCGAAAGATAATTAATATATTCCAATTCTAACTTTATTTAAACCATAAAGGTAGGCGATATAAAATAAAAGATTCTCTATTCATTTGAAAACAACTAATATAATATATATTTCAATTATTTTAGAAATTATTATAATCATATGGATCTAAAGGATAGAGTAATGATACATAAAAATCACATTAATTTTTATATTAAAATTAATAGATTCTTAACATAAAGTTATTTGGATCTTTATATAAAAAACTATTTGATTAGCTAGCTATTCGAAAAAAATATGTAAATTATCAAATGCAAGGCAAAATAATATATAATGGTTAAGGTTTTGAAATAGGAAATACAGCGATATAATTTAGATAATTAGAGCATGATAGTATATTTTATGGTATTTTTCAAATTAACGCATTTCATTAATATTAATCCTAATTTATAGATTTTTAAAGGTGATCACAAACAATGAGATTATTCCATAATGTGTACTAAATCTTTAGATATCTCTTGTACAGTATTAATCTTAGCTAATCTGAGATAATTTGCCAATTACAATTGAAAAAAGATTTTATTCAAAGAAATCAGGCGGAAGAGCACTAGTAAATTCTCATTGATAAAAATGGATCTATAAATCGGAAAAGAGATATTGTATAATAATAATTCAATCCCTACTTTAAAAGTGGTTTGAAAGGAAAGATTTGAAATTAGAGAATGGAGATTCGGAAATGATAATCTAATTGTAGTATACTGTCCAAGGAAAATTATTCTTAAGAATAAAAATTATATAGTTTAATATCTTTTTCTCTTTTAAGAACAGAGTGTCTATTAATAAAAATAAATATTTTGATTAAATTTAAAAAATGAGCTTAATTGAGCCTATTTCTACATATTAGGGTTTATAATGTATGGAAAACAGCTGCTGATAAAGAGTCTAATAAGTGTTATTGCATAAATATAGGTTATTTTGGTTCTGCTAATAGCCTGTTTTCAAAAATAGATAGCGAATTAATTATTCTAGTATCACAATAAGCTATTTGTTATGTATTTTCTAACCCTTGATTATGATGAAATCTGCAAGATGGCAAATTTAATTATTAAGTGATATACGTTTTAATACTGGATATTTATAAAATTTTACAATAATAAATAAGAAGTATTAAGATTCGGATTTAATAGGTTGGATAAGAAAATATTATAACAAGATAATTTTGGCTAAGAAGTATTAACCATGATATCATCGGTTTTGTAAACTGAAAAGCTGAAATAGGGGTTATTCTAATCTTAATTTAAGAACTTAGAATGCTGCCATAAATGTTATTTGTATTTAATTGAAGTTCTAGATTTTAAGCCTAAAAGACAATGCAAAATTTATTTGATAGAAGATATTTATTTTAAATTTAGATATCATTCAAAAGGCTTATGAAAAATGTATAATATTTAAAGTTAAGTGATCAAAATTGGATCACTCAAAATAATTGATAATTAACCTAAATAATAAACAATAAATTAAAAATTTGATTCAGTCATTTGTCATTGTTGAAGAGGACGAATTTATTTTCCAATCTCTCTTGTATTGTGGTTTGCCAATTTTAAATGATACTTGTCTAATTTTCAATTTGATAACCAATTAAGCCTATCATTACTTTTTATGTTTAAGACTAGAATTTAAGAATGGACATCATTTCAGCAGGATGACTCGCCTACATAAAATACTGATTATATCAATTTTAAGAAAACCAAGGCATTTACAAGATTTCATAAAGAGAAAAGAATTGGAAGCAGGAATATACAAAATTAAGATCTAAAAAAGCATCTAATACTTTTTTAAAGACTGAAATGACTTGTGAGTTGAAGTACATCAATTTATTTATGAGCCTGATAAACTTAATTTGGTAACATTTAGAAGAATAGTAATATGAACTTAAGGAAACTTGAACAATCTGAATAATGTATTAATAATGGGGCTAAACACAAAAAGGTACATTTTGCAAGAACATATATATATGATAGACTAGGGTGACATTTGAGGTGCAGGTAAAGATATTACAATAGGCGAGTTATGGAATTAATCTAAGAGAGGCTGTGGGTATATAAGATAAGGTGTGAAGATTATAAATAATTTTAAGGAGCGGAAATAGTTGTTTCTAGTAAGAATGAATAAGAATCCCTAACTTTGAGACACTTCAAGATATTAAATTGATTCACTTGTGATACCCAAAGAATAAGAAAGATCGTATCATAAATATTTTTAATTACTAACAGTAAATTTAATTGGCTTTATTCCCCAACAACTATTATGATATCAATATAATCAAATGAGTTTATTCCCTTTGCTGATTAAAATGGGTGCATTATTTATTCAAAATCCAATCTATGGACTTACAAAATAGCAACTTAGCAAAATAATTGTATTTTTCTTAAATTTTAAAATTATTATTTGATGAAGAATTAAAATTATAATTTAACTTACTTAAATGGTGATTAAATGCTAAAATTAATGATTTTCTGCTTCAAATTTTGGATTGTTTTGGACTATTTCAAATGTTTATCAGAACTGTAATTTTCGAAGTGAAATATCCTAAGCCAATGGAAAATTGTAATCAATTTAACATATAATACTATTATTTATGGGTGAGAGTAGTAAAAGGCTAAGAATGAAACAAGAATATTGAGTGAGGACAATTTTTTACAAAGAACAAGGACTTGAAGAATTACAATTAACAATACAAGTTAATTTTTAGTTACAAAGAGAGTCACATAGATAATTTGAAGATCTTCGTAGCCTAGATCATTTATTAGAAATCGTCCCTACATAGTTGCAAAATATTTAGTCATAATTTAAGATAAGAAAATACCATTATTCTCGTATATAGATTCATCTTTTTCTTTACTCATTGGAGTGTTTGAATATTGATTTATATATCTTTTATTAACATATATAACCTAGGTTGCTGAAGTTAATTTCTAGCCTATAAAAGAATAGAAGAAATTAACATGCAGTTCACATAGACCAACAATACCTATGACCACTATTAAATAATTAGCAAAGGTTCAAGTGCATGGGAAATTAAGGCATGGATGATGAGTTATTATAATATTTTTACTCAGATTAATTACTAAACTACTCTATTTTAGAAGAGCTGGACTTAAGGATTTAATTGACTGTGTTATGAGAAATTTTCAAGTGGAAACGATCCAATGCTGGATGTCACTCAAATTGACTAGCATCAAAATAGAAGGAAGAGAAATTAACAGGTTGCTCAAATATGAGATGGATATATTGATAGGCGAAGAAAAGTATATATTAACAGAGATTAATAATATTCTATAGGTAGATCTCAGCAATATCATAAATCTTAGGAGGCACAAATTTCAAATTTAAGATAGCACAAAAAGATAAATAGATTTGAAATTAGGATAGCAAAGATTTATAAGCAAGCAATATTTAGAGTTAACTACGAGGTTGAGTTTATATAAATAAAATTGAATTAACAAATATCTACTAAATGGAGTTCTTTATACTAAATTAGAATAACTAAAGTATCATCATCTTCAAAGGGTATCCTAATTTTATTTTTATTGAACGGTTAATTAAACCTTAACTTTGAAGTTGAACACCAGCAACAATTCTTAGAAACTCATGTTATTTCATGTTTTGAGAATTCCTTTGAATTTAATCTTTGCACATTACTAAACCTTAAATCGAATGATTTGCACTCTTTGGCTACAACTTTGGATTAGTTGATCCAAATTAGAGATGATAGAATTTATTATCTACTCTCAAATAAACACTATGACGAAAGTTCAAAGCCTATTAGCCACTAAAAGAATAAGAAGGACATAGACAATAGGGAAGTTATAGATATTCCATTTGAGTTGGATATTTCATTCACAATTATGATGGAATCGAAGATGCCTAAGATATTTTGAAAATAGCTAAATATTATATCATTTTACATTAGTAAGTAATCAAGTCTACCACAGATGCTTGAATCCTACCAATTCTAAAGACAATTACTAACTCCTAATTGTTACATAAATTGAGATAATTTTAGTTTCAGGCATTTCTAGATTATTGAATAGAAATTATTTTTCCTTTGAAAGCTTAATTGCCAAGGTATATATCAAAAAAGAGAGGGATAAAGTAAGGATCTTTTATGAACTAAATTTTGAAATCTACTCTTTTTTTTCTTTATATCAGGTCATATATACATAAGGTTTCGCCTATCCATTCAAGAAGAATTCCTTAATAATATTATTTAGCTTTTCATGCTTTAAATACTAAATCTCTTTCAATAATTTTGCAGCCTTATTAAGATCCATATATATTGTCACTCTACTTTTAAAGATATGGAAATGTCTACACACTACTTATAGCATCTAAATACTCTACACAAAGTATTAAGTAAAAACAGCCTAACTAGGAAGTATTAATTTATTTGCTGCATATTTTCTGAATTTTGAAACATAATATGCAATGAATAGTTTCAGAAAGGGGCTCCGGACCTTAATCTTGCCAAATTAGCCTCCATTAGGGACTTGAAGACTTCGTTTCATTGATGTTAAAATTTTTAGGTAAGTAGCTTTATTAGATTTGTTATTAAATATGATCTTCTATGCAAAGTCATATTTATTTTTATCGCATATCATTTATTTTAATGATTTCAGGAAAGAGTCTTCTTTTTAAAGAGACTTGAGATCTCTTTTCGTGATCAATAGTGTTGTAAAAGCCTGCCAGATTTAAGGGAGAGAAGAGGAAGTTTGGATGCTTCTT